TCTTTCCTAAAAAGACGGCCAGGCCCGTTTCCCCAGTCACTAACCACAGGATCCCACAGAAACGAGAAATAATTTCTCGGACTTAGAACAGGATGTCGAACATCCACTCCCGACTAACAATAAGGTTACTTCTGATGTAGTTACTCCCCCGACTAAGCCTCCCCCACCTGTTATGCTTAAAATCAAAAAGAATTTCCGCGATCAAATTAAATTAATTTTCGAAAAATTCCCCAAAATTCGCAATAGAACTGCCGGTGATGTAATTAAAATTTTCACAAATGATTTTGAAGAATATCGAACTCTTATCCACTTCTTGAAAGCGGATAAAGAATTCGAATTCTATGTAATTAACCGTAAACCTGACAAACCGATAAAAGCTGTAAAAAAAGGTCTCCCGAGTTTCTCTAAAATCGAAGATATCACAAACGATTTAGTAGAAGAAGGCTTTGTAATTGAAAGCTGTACGCAGCTTATCTCGAAAAGAACAAAAAAAACCCTTCCATATTTTCTAATATTTCTCCCGAGAAACGCCAATAACAGCAAAATATTTGATTTAACAAAATTAGGTTACTTTCAAGTAAAAGTTGATGGTTACCTCGTAAGAGGAATAACCCAATGCTTCAACTGTAATAACTTTTTCATACTGCCGCGAACTGCCACATGCAACCCAGATGTTTAAAATGCGGTAAAGCGCACGCTACGAGAAACTGCCAAATCAAAGAAAGACAGGAAAACCCCTTTTGTATTAACTGCGAGGGCTACGGTCATTCGGCATGTTATACAAAATGTCCCAAATTCCAACAACCAAAGAAAGGTGCCCCCTTCGTTGATCCAATGAAAAAGAAAAATTTCGCCAGTAAATGGATTAAAGAAGGAATTTCTTTCGCTAACATTGTTAGTGGAGAAATCCCCAGTCAAACCCCTACTAATAATGAAAATAATAATGATAACAGAAAAGAAGATTCCACCCGTGGATTCCTTAGCCAAGAAAATAATACCTCTGACTTAATACAA